TCCCAGTAATATAATTGTATGTAATATTTAAAACAAAGATACTAATCAATAACACTGTTTAAAGCATGGGTAAAATTGACTGAGTTTTTTTAACTTTTGACTTTTTCCAGAAAAGACAAGCTGCTCAGAGCAGTTAAACAGATACCCTAATTCTGTAAGCTGCCTTTCTTCTTCACCTTTTCCAAGCGCACTTGTTTATCAGTATTCTCTGACGTTTTAATAGAGTAGGCTATTTCTGTCGACACATTTTTTTTCAGGTGGTGGAGACAGGATCTGGAATGTTGTTTTTGCAGTTCTTGCTTTTTATGTGTGGTGTTTCATGTTGCTCTTCATGCTTTTTTATGGACACTTTCATGGATAGAAATCTGGAAGTATTTTGTACTTTTGCCATATTCTTTCCCCAGTGATATTAGAGTGGCTCCCTCCCTCCTGGCCTTCAGAAGGAGAGTGAAAACCTGGCTCTGGGGTCAAGCATTTGGAGATTAACTACAGTGCAATAATAGCTACGGAATTATATGCAATGAGTTTTGGAACAGCCTTGGATTAAGATTGTAGTGTGATTTTTAATAGTGATTGTAATGTTTTATACACTTTTTAATATGCATTTAATTTTAATTTTAAATCTTCAGCTTTATGTATTTTAACTGTTTTGTGTTCAAGGGCATTGAATAGTTGCCATATGTAAAGCCGCCTTGAGTCCCCTTTGGGGTAGAGAGGAGGGATAAAAATAGAGTAAGTAAGTAAATAAATAAATAAATTTAAACCTGTCCATTTTTGCTTTTAAAAGTTTCACGTATCAGAGACAAATTTCCTTTGGGAAACTGGGTCATTTCCCTCACCACCCCCAAAGGCTTGTTCATTGCCAAAGGCATAGTTCATGTTCTTAACTCCTGATCTATCATTTTGAGAGATAGTCTTGTATCCTTGTGATAAACTTACCTGACCTGAAGAACTGAAATCCCTTGCTGGTTTTGATTTCCTGTTGTGATGTGACTATTCACTGGCTGCTGATAAAGTTTGACTTTCTCTTCATCCTGGAAAGAAGTGACAAGCGGAGTGCCGCAGGGTTCTGTCCTGGGCCCGGTCCTGTTCAACATCTTTATTAATGACTTAAATGAAGGGCTAGAAGGCATGATCATCAAGTTTGCAGATGACATCAAATTGGGAGGAATAGTCAATACTCCAGGGGACAGGAGCAGAATTCAAAACGATCTTGACAGATTAGAGAGATGGGCCAAAACTAACAAAATGAAGTTCAACAGTGACAAATGCAAAATACTCCACTTAGGCAGAAAAAAATGAAATGCAAAGATACAGAACAGGGGATGCCTGGCTTGAGAGCAGCATGTGTGAAAAAGATCTTGGGGTCCTTGTGGACAACAAGTTAAACATGAGCCAACAGTGTGATGTGGTGGCAAAAAAGCCAACAGGATTTTGGCCTGCCTCAACAGGAGTATAGTGTCTAGGTTCAGGAAAGTCATGCTACCCCTCTTTTCTGCCTTGGTTAGACCACATCTGGAATACTGTGTCCAATTCTGGGCAACACAATTGAAGAGAGATGTTGACAAGCTGGAATGTGTCCAGAGGAGGGCGACTAAAATGATCAAGAGTCTGGCGAACAAGCCCTATGAGGAATGGCTTAAAGAGCTGGGCATGTTTAGCTTGAAGAAGAGAAGGCTGAGAGGAGCCATGATAGCCATGTATAAATATGTGAGAGGAAGTCATAGGGAGGAGGGAGCAAGCTTGTTTTCTGCTTCCCTGGAGACTAGGACACGGAACAATGGCTTCAAACTATAAGAGAGGAGATTCCATCTGAACATCAGGAAGAACTTCCTGACTGTGAGAGCCATTCAGCAGTGGAACTTTGTGCCCAGGAGTGTGGTTGAGGCTCCTTCTTGGAAGCTTTTAAACAAAGGCTGGATGGTCATCTGTCAGGGGTGCTTTGAATGTAGTATTCCTGCTTGGCAGGGGGTTGGGCTCTTCCAACTCTATGATTCGATGACTTACTTATCAATGGATTTACTTATCCATGTTCCAAAAGAGTTTGTGGGCTCCTCTAGATCCTCTAGTGCAGTGGTTCTCAACCTGGGGTCCCCAGATGTTTTCGGCCTACAACTCCCAGAAATTCCAGCCAGTTTACCAGCTGTTAGGATTTCTGGGAGTTGAAGGCCAAAAACATCTGGGGATCCCAGGTTGAGAACACTGCTCTAGTGTGAGTCTGTAGCATATTGAGATCACAATTATCCAGTTTGAGGTGTCCATGGAGGTTGTGGTCTTGGGAGTTGTCCTGTTTTTTTTTTCTTACCTTCTTAAATTTACCCTACACTTCCATTCTGATATAGCTGTGGAATATAGTCTGCCATATTCCATAGCTATATTTTACATTTTAGGGTGGTGTTGCAAGCATTTGGTGATGAAATTTCGAAATTTATCAGAATGCTGGTCTTCCAATACATGGTATGGTTAGTTTGTATAAGTAATGAAGGATGGGGAAAGCTTTTTTTTAAAGAGGATGAAGATCAGGAGATATCTTCTGGTTGTTGCTGAATTCACTGAAGTCCAGTCTGCCACAGAGAGCACAAAGCCTAGTGAATGAGCTCTTGAGCAAATAACTGTCTTAGCACAAGATTATGACACTTAGGACAGCATGCACACTTGGATAACACACATTTTCAGGCTATCTACCCCACAATTGCTCATGCCGTTTCGGTGAGTTTTAAAGGGGAAAACTGCCAAACATCATTAACCCCCAAATAGCTAGCATCCAGTAAGTAGATCAAAATTGTGTACTTCTGCCCTAATGCATTAATGTCTTTTGCTGTGCAGTTTGTACTCATGAGAGACATGGGTTAAAGTGGAAGAACATGGTTTGATTTTGGGTCATTCCCCGTGGCATTTCAGTTCTTTTGTTTTTTGTTTTCCAGGGCCTTAATCTGCAATGTAGATATCTGCACAAATGTTCACATATTTTCATTCATTACCAGGTCTGAAGAGGCCAGGTTTTGAAAAGGCTACCCTTGATGAACCAATTTTTAAATAATCCTTTGTGTAAAAGTTGTTTTTATGTTCCTCTCCTGAAGTTGGCATGTAGTTTTTCTATTTATCTCATTTAACTTCCAACCTTAGTATCAAGATAAAGACTTTAATAGCTAGAAACTTCATTTCCTCCTTGTTTGGGGAATCAAGGTAAGAAACTATACTTGTGGATTTCTCTCCTGGATATGCACCCAGGCTTTTTGTGTTGGCTGGGGAGTTCTGGGAGTTGTAATTCAAAAAACCAGTGCACCTACAACAGTGGTTCTCAACCTGTGGTTCCCCAGATGCTTTGGCCTTCAACTCCCAGAAATCCTAACAGCTGGTAAAATGGCTGGGATTTCTGGTAGTTGTAGGCCAAAACACTTGGGGATCCATGGGTTGAGAACCACTGATCTACAGTGTTGGATGCATTCATAGGTCTTTTATCCCCAAAGAATTATGGGACAGAAAATGAAGAGAGCTATTATGAATTGCATCTTTGCTTTTCAGCTTGGTAGCTTTGAACTAGAAAAAGAAATCAGGTGATACTGAAGATGTATGTGCTACAGATATAATTGATATTATACCCAGCAGGACAGAAATAATAGTTGATAAGTTGGTAAGAGTCCAGTGGGAAATAAGATACACGCCCATTGCCACAGCTGTAGAAAATATCTTCTTTTACTTTCTACCATGAAAATTCCATTTACAAATATTTTCATCAGTGCTATTATCATTTCTTTCCCATCCTCGCAAACGTGACTGGTGGAGACGAGAGACAGGGCCCTCTCAGTGGTGGCCCTGCGTCTGTGGAACTCCCTCCCCATGACAGCAAGTCATCCCCTTCCCTCCTGTCCTTTAGGAAAAAAAACCCCTTAAAACTTGGTTGTGGGACCAAGCATTTGAGCAGTGGATTCAGGAACAAGAATAAGAGTGATTTTATATGACTGACAATGGATTGACATTGGATTATGATTTTGAATTTGTATATTTTAAGTGGATGTTTTAATAATTTATGTTTTAACTATTTGCTGTTAACTGTAATTGTTTTATAATGTACCTGTTGGCATCTAATGGTTGCCTGTTGCAAAGCCACCCTGAGTTCTCCTATGGGGGCGAGAAGGACGGGATACAAATGCATGAAATAATAAAAAAATAATAAATAACAGCAAGGGGGAATGCAAATAATATTTTTAAATGACTACCTTTAGCCATGGAGCTTATCTTGTAGATGGTTTATTGAAACAGTAGTGTTTTCCAGGTGTAAAGTAAGACTTCTTGTAACCAGTTTTAATTGTTAGGGTGAAGCAGATAGAGTTGATCTTAAGTATTACATATTACATATTTCAGTGGTTCTGGTCTATATTGTTTTGTTGCCCTTTGCATGTCCTTGGTACCAAATGTTCAAATGGTAGAAATGTTATGCTTCAGATTCCAAAATTGTCTACACAGGTGACAGGACCCTTGTTTTCTGATGGTTCCATGCACACAAACTTTGGTTCATGTACAAAATGATTTAAAATATTACATATGTGTATAAAATGTATGTGAAACATAAATGCATGCCATGTTTAAACATGGATTTCATCTCCTAGATATCTCATTATGTATCTGGAAATATTTAAAAAATAAAAATTCTAAACACTACTGAACTCAAGCATTTTGGATAAGGTATACGGAGCTTATATTGTGGTTGGTAGTACCATGAGAACCAAACCTTTCTTCCCATTAGTGTGTACAGTACTTTGTAAAGATTTGCCATCTTATTCATGGGAACAGTTCCAGAAAAACATTGAATAATTGAATGTAACTATTAGGCAAGCATTTATTTCTCACATTAACCACTACCCAATTTACTTGAGGGGAACATTTTATTTTTTATTGCTCATTCCTTTGTTTGAATTACTCTCACTCTCTCTCTTTAATGACATTTTGACATCTTTTGTATAGACTATGCATATTAATATAATTGTATTTACTTGTAGGTGGCTCTAACCAAGAGAGCTGATCCGACTGAGTTGAAAACAATATTTTTGAAGGTATGTTAAAAGTAAATATTTTATCTTTTAAAGCCTGAATTTTTCAATTCTTTAGTTCTTATTGCATTATTCATCTCTTGATAGTCTTCTAACCATTAATCATTCACTGTATTATTACCATGTTAGATTTAAATACCACTATCAGGAATTGAACAATGCTCTCCAAGAAGTCAAATACATTCTTGAATGATTATTGTATAGAATCAGGGAAATACAGCTATCTTGAAATTAAAATGTATTGCCTCCCCAAAAATAGAACAGAAGTTTCAGCATTTCCTACACAAAGAGAAAGAAATAACTCCTCTTTAAATGATCTAGCGATTAAAACTACAATCTGTAACTGAGATTTTTCCTCATTAGAGCTTCCCCACCTCTCTTACATTTTTGGACTATTTGCGACTAATAATTAGACTGTTTTTTCAAGCCAATAATGGGGAACAGAATCATAATTCAGTTCTCCAAACAATATACAGTGCTGATCACAGTTGATCAAGAGCATGTTACATTTTCTATGCTTGCCCTGAGTTATGCTCTGATTTGCACAGAAGCAGTGATTGGCGTTGAATTTTGCAGGTGTTAACCATTGGTGAGGATAATTTTAAACAATGGGGCAGAAAGCTCAAATTCAAATTTGAATTTAGAAGAACTTTTAGACATGGTTTGCTTACTACATGATCTGGGTAAACCCACAGATCTGATTGGACTGCATCTTTCATCAACCATTTCCAGACTAGGCAATAGTGGGGGGTTGTGGGAGTTGTAGTCTTAACAACAGCTGGAGGGCCACATTTTTCCAGTACCTCAAGTAAGCTATTTGCTTTTTTCTACTGTGACATTAGAGAAATCTTCATGTCATGTTGATGATGAGAACTTCATATTATGTTTATGTTGCTTATGCTGCCGGTTCCTCAGGAGAATTGAGTATAATAAAAAGCAAAGGTGCAGAGTTGGGAAGAATTTAGCACCCTTTTTCAATCAGCTAATCATTTGGAACGATATTACTAGGTTTAATTGAAAGCTATACACTGCCATATAAAATCCAGATTATCTGTTTTGAACTGGATTACATGGCAGTGCAGACTCATATTATCCAGTTCAAAGCAGATAATGTGGATTATCTGCCTTGAAAATCTGTGTAGGTCCAGCCAGAGTGTCTTGTTCTGCTTGCTGTTGAGAGAGCAACCCATTGGTAAGGTCCAAATATATACTACTTGGAACAGTATAGGATCTCAATCTCTGAAAATGCAGCTGTCATGTTGTATAAAGAAATAACATTTCCAATACTTCTGTTGAAGTCCAGAATTGTGACTAGTTGCACTGAGGGAGTAGATGTTGGAACTTACAATAGAAAATGGAGTTTGTACTGATTAGTAACAGGCCAACCCCAAATTGAGTCGCCAAATTGGCGACTCACACCGCTGTGAGTCGCCCCTGGGCTGAGAACAGCGGTATATAAGCAAAGTAAATATATAAGCAAAGTAAATAAATTGGAAAACAACAAATACTGGGTGAGATTGAGGTCTCAGTGAAGTGTCAAGTACACATTTTGGTCACTTGGTAGTGATGTACAAGAGTGCTTTTGTCCCACTTCCTAAACAAAGTTGATTTGGTCAAGGTAGTCTATGCTTTACTTTTTATTATCTAGATTAATGTAACATTTTATGGGCCTGTTCCTAAAAAGTACCATATATTTGAATTCCAATTGATTAAAAACATGGTAGCCAGATTTCTGTCTGGTTAATGTCTAACAGATATTGTAGCACTTGTCTTTAATCACGTTCACTGCCTAGTTGTTTTTTTCCAGCACCAATTCATGAAGCTCGTTCTTCCTTATGCAAGGCTAAATGGATTGGGAGCAAATAATTTGAAAGGTGCATTTTTCCATATGGACCTACATGGAGCCAGGATTCACATTATCAGGCTTTATTTCATCTCCCACCTAGAGGATAGGTTTGTTGGGACCATGTACATGAGTCAAGATGTACATGGGAAGGCGGAACGTAAAGTTCTTCTCAAGAACCCCATTCTGTAGAACTCATCTGTGGAGATCCCTCAACGTAGCCATTTAGCAGCAAGTGGAGAGCAAGGGTTGTAGATGGTTACAACCTTATAGATGTACTTGTAATGACAAGGGTTACCTCAGGGTCACCCCAGGGTCCTGGAGGATGATCTCATTGTATGCTCAGCCGTCAAGGAATAGCTGAATGCTAGTAGAAATGTTCTTGCAGCAGGCTGCTCAGAACATGAATCAGCTTGGAAATAATGCCATGTTTCCCAGAGAACTGGTTTGGTTTCTGTAGGGGCAGATATAGCAGTAGCACTACCACATCTGCTGATAATATTGGGAGAGTCCAGTCTATCATCATCATCGTCATCATCATCATCACTTTATTTCTTAATTAGTTGCTCTCCACCAAAGTGCTCCGAGCGACTTACAATTTAAAATAGCTTATACACAATATAAAACATTCAATATAAAACTCTCAAACAAGCCCGTTATTAATAAGTTAAGAACAAACATGGTTTTACAAACAAAAACAAAATTAGTCCTGTCATTTTATGAGCTATTACTGGTTTGCTTAGTTAGTCATACAGGTATGAGGTATTCTTCAAAATCTTGACTCATTGCTTGTGTAATTAGGTCTCTATGTAGAAATACACAACAACAATCACCTTGGCTTTAGAAAATCCTCTTCTTCCCCAGTTTATTTGAGACTTTTCAGAAAGGCAATGAAGTTTAGTTAAAATTGGAAATTGATGATGATGATGATGATGATGATGATGATGAAAAGATAAACTTTATAATCCGCCACCATCTCCCATAGGAACTAGGGGCGGCATACAAATAGCACACAATGGTACCATACCACTTGTAAAATGAAATATATCAACCTTAAAACCAGTAACCCATTTAAAATCAGGCATATAAATTAACAAGAGCAATAGAATCAATAAAATATGGCAATGGCAATATAATCAATTTATCCTTCCCTAAATTAGTAGAATTAACAACAGAATTCTACTGTCACCCCAATCTCTTAAAAGGTGCAGCTTTAGATACATGGCCAGCAAAGTAACCAGACCTTTCTTGCTCTCAGATAGAAAACTTTATTTTGAAAAACTAAATTGAGTTAGAAAAATACAGAGAACTGGATCTCCCAGTGGTGCCTACAAAGTGTAGCAACCTTAAGTAGTGGCACTACATTTGCTTTTATAGTTTCACAGGACTGCACCACCCTTTTGGGGTGTTACTCAGTCACAGTGAGGCTCAATTGGTTAAAAGACAATCATGCAATTTCACATTGTGGTCCATATCCCTGGCCCTGTAGCTTCTATTTGTCTAGTTCTTATTAGTAGGAACTCTTCATCCCAAACCCACCGTATACAAGGCTAGTGCAGATGCCAGTGGAGCAGGAGAGGATCCAGCAAGCCTCCGACTTATCAAGGTCATCAGTATCTAGCAGGGCAGGTTATGGGGTGCTCACACTACATATATATGTCTATTGAGAAGTAGGCCCCTTGGAGTTTACTATATCTTATCTCAAGGTAAGTGGAATTTGATTGTAGTCCACAACAAAGAATGCCAAAATATATAAAAAAGCCCATAATAGCATTTTATTGCATCATTTTCTGTTTAGCTTAAACACATAGCCATCAAATTGATAGACCTAGGCTATATATTATATGCTTTTGCAGTACCTTACGCAAGACCTTTTAAACATATGTATGTATGTTCTGCTAATGTATTTGCCAAGGCTGGAATGGGTTTCAACTAGTTAATACTTGAGTATTTAAAATATATGATTATCCAGTGTGAATTTTGAAGGAACTTCCCAAAAAGCCATTAGGCATTATTGTGTAATATCAAATTCTCTGTGGGTATAATTACCAAAGTGGGGAAAAATACATGACTGCCTAGAATCACCTTTTAGAAAGTCTTTATTCCCAAACTAACAGAATTGATTTCCCCCCCTTTTGTCATGATAATTTCCTAGAGTAACTCTACTTCTTACGACTCTCCTACCATAACCTAAGAGATTAGACTTACAGTCAAAATGAGCAGGCTGACATTTTCAAGGTCATTTTCTATATGTAGTGTGGGGGGTACGTGATTGGATTTCAAATACACAAGAATAAATCACAGTAGGGAGAAACAGAGGGACACCGAAACCTTATGCTGCTTTCTGTTATTGAATGTCTTAGCAGGGGGGCTAGGCTAGAGGGAAAAAATGTAATGTAGAAGCAGCAGAATGGCTGACTTATTTGATTTGTTTCTCAATAACTGTTGTGTTAAAAAAAGTTTTCAAGCATAATACTTAGAAAGATTCTCCCGCAAATGATGACAATGCATTGGATTGATCTATGAGATGGTGATAGAAGCATACAGATGAAATGTTCTCTCATTCTATACCATCTGCTAATCAGGCTGGTGATTTATATGCCGCTACCATGTTTTCAATTGGTTTTAATTTTGTTTGGGTATATGTTGAGCTTGGTTTGTATCTGATTTTCACAAATGTGCGTTTTTTTCAGTGACTGTTAGATAGATTTAAGGCTATCAGCCCGATTGTAAAAAGGAAAAGAAATGTACTATTCTTCCTTATAAAGGTATAATACTGCAGCTAATCCGCCAGATGTGTGACTGTAAGTGATATGAATATCCTGTATTTCTTCAATTCTAAGACGAGCTTTCCCCCCCGATATAAACAATTGCAAAAATGAGGTGTGTCTTACTATCAATGGCATCTTAGAATCAAAGAAATAAGATAATATTAATGTTTGGACTTTGAATTTCTGACTTTTTACTCTGATAAAATATACATCTTAAAATAAATTACTTATATATGTTTTAAAGCGAACTAGTGAAAAAAAATCCATGAATATGTTTAACTATGGCTTTATGAATCGGGGATTGACAATTGTGTTTTACATTCTGAGAGTTACTACAAGCTAAAACAAAACTGGAAGTTGGTTGCAAAATTGTACTCGATACCTAACTTATTTTGTACTTGGTCTGGGTAAAATTCTGTGAAGAATCATAGTAAATACTTATCACGGCATCAGAAAAAAAAGAAACAAGCCACCATAATCATTAAATTACCTTTTCTTTTGAGAACACGCTGCTTGCTCTGATACAGTACTTTTTTCTTGACGCATAGAAATATATTTATTCCTACAGTTTATTTACAACTGCAAACTTATGTCTCCTCTAATACCACCCAAGACAGCCATACTGTTTCCATGCATTTTCAAAGTATTTCATCTTTTAACAACTTCTTACTTAGTGTATGTAGTTTTGTGGCTTTGAAAATAATTGTGGTGATAAGGAGCGGGAAGTCTACTATAATGACACCAAATAAACAAATATAAGGTTGTGATCTAGGGAACCATCTTAAATGTGTTCAAACTTTAGCTTTAGACAGTTGTTATTTTTTTAAAAAAAACTTTTTAATTGAATATGACAACCATCTATTGAGATTCCTCTCAGTTTCAAAGAGGAATAGCCTTGTGACATGGAAGTGTTTACAGTAAAGAAAACTTCACTAGGTCCCAGCCTGTCTACTTTTACTTGGATGCACTTGGGTTGGGGTGGGGTTTTTAATCAGACTTTCAAAAAATAAATAAATGATCCTGGTGACAAGCAAGGTCTCAGTTCTCACTGTGCTGTCTTACTCATGCATTTGCAGAATACGGATTTATGAAATTGATATCAAGGAATTGCTGAGGTTTGTGGGAATCACTGCATTGAAAAAAATTGCAGTAAGTTTTTAGATTGAACCTTCCAGAATCCCCTAAACAAAAAGGTGACTACTTTTAAAATGCACTTGCTCCCCCCCCCCCAATTTAAAAAAAATTAAAAGGAGGCCCTTTGACCTCAACAATAACATGATGGGGAAAACGGCAAGATAAACTTTCAATAAATCAAATAGATATGCTCCATAGAGAATAGAAAATCCCAGTTATACCAGAACTTGCTGAAGAAACTGGAACAGTACGGCATAACAAATATTGGAGACATATTGAAACTCGATGGAACAGTAATACAATGGGAGGTGCTAAAAGATAAGTGCGGTCACAGAAATTGGCTATTATGGAGAGTGTTATCTGAGGGTTATCTGAAAGAATAAGGAAATCCCAGAAACAAGTCTTGATAAAATAATAAAATGGAAAATAGAGAAGGAGAAAGGAATCATGGGATACATTTACAAAATAATCATGGGAAAACTACACAATATAAAAAAAATCTTGACAGATATCTGGACGGAGAGACTAAGTTGCAGTGAGAGAGAAATAGACAATTGGATAAATTCAATTAATAAAATAAAAACATTTAAAGATAAAAGAAATATAATGAAAATCCAGACAAAATGGTATAGAACTCCTGTGCAATTAGCTCATATAACCAGAACTTCCTCAAAACAATGTTGGGACAATTGCAGGAAAACCGGAACATACACCCACATGTGGTGGGATTGTGAAAAAATACAATAAAATAATTAAGACAGAAATGGAGGAATTATTAGGGTTAAAAATAAATTGGAACAAGACACCTTTTTTCCTAGAGAAAATTGAAGGGGCAACTAAGGAATGGGAGGGATTAATAAATTACATTTTAGATGCTTCCAGTCGCTTTAGGCTGGAAGGACCAAAAGAATGGGACGTAAAAACATTGTATAAATATTTAGCGGACTACTTCCTCCAAGACTACATTAGCGAAAGGAAAAGTTACTACAGGATGGGCCAAATCAGAAAGTCATGGGAGGCAAAATGGAAAGGCTTAATTTACAGAATTAAGGGGGAAAGATCAATATAAGGAATTAAACAAGATTATCTTCAGGATAGAACAATTGTAATAAACACAGCAAAATTTGTAAACTGTTCCCAGGGAGGAGAGGGAGGGAGAAAGAGGGGGAATAATGTAAACATGCGTTACCAGTGGAAAATGTTTTGAATCTTTGTATGATTTTGTGTAGCACTATTCACAATAATTTTGAAAATATGTTTTTTAAAATGCACTTGCCATTCTGAATAGAGGATTCTAGAAATGTAGTCCAAAAACGGTACCTGTCCATGCCCTGGTTTCTCAACTAGCTTATCATCTAGTTTCCACAATAAAGTATAGGTTGAAATTAAATGGCTAGCACTAAATATAGTCCCATAGTATGTACATGCTAGTGCAGTGAATTTTCAGAACTCTTAATCACTGAAAGGCTTTATATCCATGAAGATCATAGTGGCAATCTGAAATCCCGGGCAGTCCCTACCTTTATCCTGAAATAATGCTGCTCATAAAAAAAGAAAACAAAACCAGAAGAGACACATGCTCTCTTTCTTCCCAGTATTTTTCGTTTTGTGTTATTACAGTCTATAGATCTAGGCAGCTGCTTAGGGGAAAAAATTGAAATGCCAAATGTATTGTGTGATTCCCTATCCCCACCCCCCTCTTCTGTAATACTATATGATTTTTTGGGTTTAGACCAGTATAGCATATTGAGGGCATTTTTATTACTGTTCTTCATATTGCTTTCTTCCCTTTCTACAGTAATTTTAGTCTTCAAATAAAATTTGTTTTACTTCTGCTTTCACTTCTGTTTCTTTTCTGTTTTTTACTCCCATGAGGTAGATATTTGGAAGTTTTAAAGAAGAGAATTTGAAAAATGCTGTCAGAGTCATGTGGCATTAATGTCTTGCATATGGCACTTTATTACAGATGCATAATAATGGACTGCCATGCATTTGTTAAGTTAATATTCGAGAAAAGCTATATTTCATATTTCACAAGATGTTTCCCAGGCATTTGCTTAAAGATGAAAGATCAGAAAAATATGAAGGTTTGGAGGTTCAGGAAGACTTGATTGACAAAGTGTACCCTTCTTTCCCCTCTTCTTTTTCCTCTTTACTGTAGCAAAATATGATTAATGTATTCCTTTCAAAATATGAATATTGTAGTCTTATTGCTAGAAATTGTTTACTATATTTATTTTATTATGTTATGAACAGCTGTTGTGTCTTGTTTTGAATGCAGTAATGGCATAAAAGGTACCTGATATGATATGATTCCAATCAAAATAAGAAACTAACTTCAAACTATAATTTCTGATTCACTGCTAGATTGCACTTGGAAGCCATATATTAATACATTTGAGTGTCATGGCAGTTTATAGTTACCAGGATAAGAATAAGGAAGCTATACACAGTACTCCAAACCATCGCGTGTAGGGCAGCTTTGGGTTGGCTGTGTATAGTTTTATTTCTGGGACAGGAGCTGTATGCTTGGCCATCTGTATGAAAACATTGCTTCATAATGATCAAGTCAGTGATGTTTTCTATGCTGTATTGTAATAAAAGAACCAAATTTATTTTTTCTTTGTCTTTTAAAACAGTATGCAAGCGTTGAGAAAAATGGTGAATTTTACATGTCCCCCAATGACTTTGTCACACGGTTTCTGAAGATCATAGGAGATGGCATACCCAATCCCAACACTGTCCAGTTGCTGGGAGGTGTGGTGGATCAGACTAAAGACGGGTATGTATATTGCTTAAAATATTTGTAATGGCAATAGAAGATTCACAAAATGAGTTGACTCTCACTCTTCTTACGAATTACAGTGGGAAGTCTGGATCCATGGTCTCCATATCCATAAATTCTACCAACCACAGATCGTCATAGCCCTTATTCTTCAATGGTGGTGATATGAATGTGGACATGCTGAATTATGCCTGATCCTGTTGTTTTTATTTAATAATATGAGGCATGATCATTTTGGGGGGGGGGTGGTTGTATCCATGTCTAGTCCTGGAACCAAAGCCCATGGATGCAGAAGTCCCCCTATGAACCACCTTGTAGGTTAAGATCTTCTGGGGAGGCCCTGCTCTCAGTCCCACCTCCTTTGCAGGAAAGACTGGTGGAGACGAGAGACAGGGCCTTCTTAGTGGTGGCCCTTTGGCTGTGGAGCTCCCTCCTCAGTGACATTAGATCGCTCCCCTCCCTCCTGGCCTTCAGAAGGAAAGTGAAAACGTGCCTTTGGGATCAGAGAATAATTTGTAGTGCAATAATAGATATGGATTATGTGCAATGACTAATGGAATAGCCCTGGATTACGATTGTGGATGGTGTGGTTTTTAACAGTGAATGTAATTTTTTAAAAAAATGTTTTAATATGCATTAATTTTAATACTAATTTAAATGTTTATTTTAATTGTATGTTGTTTTAAGGCCTATATATAAAGCCGCCTTGAGTTCCCTTCAAGATTGAGAAAGGTTTGGTATAAATAGGGTAAATAAATAAATAAACAGCAGGAATTGTTTCTTTATTGTTCTGATTAATATGTATTAAATAAAATGCATTTCATTAAACAATATGCCAAATATATAAAGGATTACACTGTTTGAGTGTGCCTTGCAATGCATGTTCTCAAGTATATCTAGAAAAGGCATATCTTGTTTTAAAAAGAGTGAAATTGCCTTCTAAAAATTCCCATCTCACTTGCATTTTACATTTCTTTGTATGTAGGAGTAATCTGTCAGATACAAGATTATATCCTATGTTAGTCCCAACTAGAGTCCCCCAGAATCCAAATATGCAGTTCAGAAGTCTCGGGGTATCTTGTTAGGTGTTTAATAGAGCTCAACATTTCTGAGACTTTTAAACAGTTTCTTCAGTTTGATCTGTTGTTCAGCTGTGCAGAGTAAAAGAAATAATATTTCTGACTGCTTTCGCGTCAGGTGGGAGCACTGTGAAGCATTACATGTAGATTTCCAGAGGGACAGGTGGGAGTTCTGAGACTTCGGGAGGGCTATTTAGGAGTGCTTTCACCCTCCCACAGATGAGCTCCAAAGATTTTTTCCCCACTTACAAATTACATTCTTAACAATCCAACTAGCATTCCGTAATAATCCATACCTCTTTTTTCTACAATTAAATCCTGTCCAATAAAATATGCAATTTCTGCCAATCATAGCTTGGATTCCAGTAAGTAACTCAAAATACTATATGGCTTTTATTTTTAGAAAGTGTAAACAATTCAAAATAATGCTTTGAAATGCCAGCTTTTTCCATTATTATTGATTTATCTCTAATCTAGCAGTTTTGAAAATAGGTTGTTTGTCTAAGATTGAAACATTAAATAATAGGCATAGCTTACCCTGTGTCCTATTATGCTGTTATGGTTAAATTGCTGATTTTAGCAAACTATTATGGCTTTTCTGTTTATTATACAATGATGAGGATAATGATTAGTATTGCTAAACATACAGAAGAATGAATAGGTGTGGGAAGGGGGGGCTACATGATTTTTCAGAGATGTATGCCTTGGGTATTTCGTTTTACATTAGAATTTAATAGAGGTTAGGTGATTAATGCAACATTCCTATACCCACTTAACTCAGTGGGACTTACTTTTGAACAAATGTGTATTGGAGGTGGGGGGGGGGATGAGGGCATGTGGCCCTCCAGGTATCGTTACACTGAAACTCCCATCATCATTCTCTTTTATTTAGGAATTTCCAACATTTAGAGCAAGGGTGGACAATATGCAAACCATGGACTAATTTTAAAAATTGAGCTGATTTTTGAGTGGTTTTCTTTACACCCAAAATGTGTCGAAACCATACTGGTTTCCCTGCTCCCAAAAACATCAAACCTTAGAAAAAAAGAAGAAATCTAAAACAAATTGGCAGCTATAAGTGATGTTATACCATCAAAAGACATTGGTGCAGCCCATCGAACAGGTACAGAGTGTCCCCCCTGTCCCCTCCACAGTTGGCCATCCTTAATCTGTTCTAGAGGATTATACAAGTCTTGGTGTAAGGACTTTTATATGGTCTTGAGGTATTTGTGGACTCTCTTGCTTTTCAGGTATTCAAATTGGCCTTAAGGGATTTATACATCCACCAAACTCTGTTTTCTAAACAGGAATATCTATTCCATTTAAATCTAGTTGAAACTGAATTAACAAATATTTTTCCCTCCAAGAAACCTGGCAATCATCTTAAAGGTTGATGGAATCCTTATCTAGAATTCTAAAATCCTCTCAAACTTGAACTTGTTCAATAGAGTGGTTGAGATATTGACACTTTGGCTTTCTGGTGGTTCAATGTATTCAAATTTTGTTCCATGCAAAATTATTAAAATATTATGTATCAAAATACCTTCTGACTATGTGTTTAAGATGCATCAGAAACAGAGGATTTCATGTTTTGGCTTGGGTCCCATGTCCAACATACTTCTGGATAAGAAATAATTTATATAGTAATTACTTTATTGAACCAAACCAAAGGGAGAAAAACATCTTGTGCAAAGACTTCCAAATTAATTTCTTCAGCAGGCAAACATTTAAAGAAGGTGTAGGTTAAAGATACTCAGTGGTGGCATTAGAGTCACATGATGGTGCTGAGTAATGAAACAAAGAGTAGAAAAGTTAATGGTTATGTCTTGCCTTGCTTATAAATTGGTCAGTTCATTTGCATGCTATTTACTCAAGACAGAGAGTTCTTGTCAGGTTCTAATGCTGAGCAAAAATGTCTTAATCATATTTTCAGATCCATTAGTTGTAAAGGTAAATGTTTTCCCTTGACATTAAGTCTAGTCCAGTCTGACTCCGGGGGGTGGTGCTCATCTCCATTTCTAAGCTGAAGAGAGAGCATTTTCTATAGACACCTCCTAGGCCATGAGGTTGGCATGATCGCATGGAGCGCCATTACCTTCCTGCCAAATCAGTACCTATTGATCTACTCACATTTGCATGTTTTTGAACTGCTAGGTTGGTAGAAACTGGGGCTAACAACGGGAGCTCACCCTGATCTGCAGATTCCAACTGCTGACCTTCCAGTCAGCAAATTCAGCAGCTTAGCCCACTGCATCACTGCGGCCCCTAATTGTAGTCTTGCATATATATAAAGCTATTATTGGAGAGTGTTTTGAGAAACACAGATGATCAAAGGAGATATAGGAAGACGCTCTTAATAAAATTGTTTCCTGATTCAGATTGAAACAAAACTTTGATTTCTTCTTCTCCCACATTGATTTCTTTTGTTTTCCAGAAAACATTCTATAATTTTTTCTGTAGATAGCATTTAACCCCAGGTTGCATAAGATCAATTTTCCTTTATTGGATAACTATTGGAGGTGCTGTGAACATGTTGGCTTTTCAGAACCCATGTTGATTTTTTTTACCTTAGAGTACTTAGATTCTGGGTTGATATTTTATTACAGTGAATAAGCATTACACATTCTTTCTGGTTGTTATGACAGTGAAACACACTATGTAAGGATCTGAATTCTGTTACAATTGGAGATGTGGGGACAGAAATAGCAAAGCTTTTGAAGTCAAATTAAAGCAGTGGTATCCAACCTTTGGTCCCCCAGGTGTTTGGGACGCCAACTCTTAACTAGCTTATCCAATGGTCAGGAATTCTAGGAGCTGAAGTCCTTCATACTTGAAGGGCCAAAGGTTGGACACCACTAGTTTAAGGCCTTTCTCACACATGCTGATTGGAAAAGCTACGGTAGACTATTTTGAGTGATAAACTTATATGTTGTACCCGCTTAGTCATATGTGGTAGGTGGAGGTTTCAAATGGTGCATCCAAAAAGAGACATATGTATATAAGGATCCTTCTCAGCATGCTTTATTTTGCTCTTTAAAGGAAGTTCTCCAAGGTGCTGAACTTCAAAGTAGGTCCAGAATTTGTGAAAAGTATGGAATAAAAATCGAAAGTAACTTGACCACATCACGACCATGAAAATCATCAGCTGTCAGTTATTTTCTATGAGCAAATATAGCCAAGCTGAATTGTTTAGAAGGGCCTTATAAGTGTTAGAAGTAGCCGGAATCATGGATTAGAACTGTCTAGCTGTGGGAAAAAGAAAATCAAGTGTGTTTTAAGGGAATACTTGGCTAGTAAATTTCTAAACTTTTCCAAGAATTTGTCCTTTCCCCTGACTACACTTGTAGAGCCAAAAACTACAAGCAACTCATGCAGTTAGCATCAGTTTATATCTCTTACCTAACTTTCCTTCTCATACTAATACCATCTCTGAGCAATTTTAGCATTTTTTTTGGAGGGGCATACTGACGAGCTTAAACTGCTCATTGTTTCTGTGTTCTTTTACACATGGCATTTCATAAGAATATCTCTGCATCTCCTAAGGAATCAGATGTCCTATGATGGAAACATATGTTTAGAATTTCCCTGTTTTCTTCTGTGTCTTTTGATGCAGAGGAATTACACTTCAGATTAAGAAATCCCAAGTCCATGAGCTTGTTTTGAGTTCTAGAAAAGATCCGAATTTATTTATTTGACCATTTGTTTATTGCCTTGTGACTCAATCAATGTACAACACATGAAAACCTTGGGTTTAAAGAGCCAAATGCTAACTATATTTAAAAATCACACACACACTCCTGTTTACCCTTCCTGCACATAGCTTTGATATCTTCATTTCAGAATGCGTCCACACAGTAGAATTAATGCAGTTTGACCCCACTTTAGATGTAAGGGCTCAGAGCTATAGAATCATAGGACTTGTGGTTTTATGAGGCCTTTTGCCTGTGCCATATAGTGCTTGTATATCACCAAACTACGACTCATGGCAGTCAATTGGGGTCAAACTGCATTGATTCTACAATGTAGATATATTTTCAATACTCATATTTTCAATGTTATCTAACTTGTATTCAAACAAGTGAAGAAAAATCTCTTTTTTCCACATTTGAATCTTTCTACACTGCAGGTTTATTCCATCTCAAATATGAAGAAATTTTCACGTTTTCTAAAATTCTTTCAGAATGACGAAAGAGAAAATTCTTTTCCAGCTGACCTAGCCAAATTCAGTACATACAAACAGCTATTCCATGCACTGTATGGACCATATCATACCTGCTTGTCATAGAGGCATTAACAAAGAGCCTCTTGGAGTGCATCTGCACTGCCAAATTAATGCACTTTTGACACCCATTTGACTGCCATGGCTCAATGTAAGGAATCCTGGGGTTTGCAATTTGGTGAGGCACCAGCACTCTTTGGTAGAGAAGGCAAAGGAGCTTTAAAACTACAACTCCCATAATTTCATAGCACTGAGCCATGGCAGATAACATGGTGACAAGCTGCATTAATTCTACAGTTTTGATGTAGTCTTGGAGAGAAAGAGAGAAAAGTATCAGCTAGACGGATTCAGCCCTAATGGATTTGACTTTTCAAAACTAAGCAAACATGGTCCTTGCCATGGGTGGACAAATCTAATTCCCTCTATACAATGAATTTTAGTAAATTATAATAAAAATGAACTGAAATGAATTATGGGGCGCATTTAAAAAGTTTTCTCTATTAATGGCAGAGGAAGAGGTCAAAGTGGTGGCATGGATAAATATGAAGAAAGTGGGTAGGGATAAGTGTTTGAACCAATCCTGAGCTGGCTGCCAAGTTTATCATAATGCCTGTCCTGCAGATATACCGAGCTGCCAAAGCAGCCAAAAATCATATTGTGGTCTCTCTTTAACATCATGTAATTTTTTGTTTTGTTCGCTTCATCTTTGTGACCTCGGTCTTGATGGTTCCTTCTTTTAAAAATATCTATATATTCTATTCTACATGGGGTATTACTAAATGAAAAAAACCCTCTGACTTCACAAGAGATCTTTCTGTTTGGATTATAATTCATCCATCTCTTCCCCATTTTGCATCGTTAAAATGCAGGGTTATTAGGGATTTTCTCAGTCGGGCTTTTGCATTAGACGAGCCCTTGCTTATGCCGGCGAAATTATTCTTAAGTAGTATATTGAGGTTCATGTTAATATGTGCTGTTTAATGAAACCTAATGATATTCAATGAAGGGTTGTGCTAAGCCAGAAAGAAAAACCTGTTACCTTGGCAACTGCCCCCGTGCCGTATAGAGCCGAGGAACATATGGCTATGCGGCATGCATTATTTCAGCATCTTTAACCATTAGGAACCACATGTGTAATTGACTGTGAGAAATTACTGCTCAGTTACTGTATTGTGCGGTCATAATAGAAGTAAATGAGTACGTCATTGTTGTCGGAGGAGATCTGTTGGGAATCACTTGCAGGCCAGTCTATTTCAGGAGCAAAAATGCAATAAGAAGAAAATAGCTGGTTTAATTAACATGTAAAAATTGGGTTAATTTGAATTCAGCTGGCACAGCAGATATTCATGTTTCTTCTGCAGCAGCCCAATTTGAGCTGTATATTTGTGTGATTTTGGCCTTTTCTTGTAAAAGTGGCTAATTACTTAATTTATATATATATATATATATATAGAGAGAGAGAGAGAGAGAGATTGCGTTAATTGATTATCTGACATTTTAAAGTGGCGGTGCTGTTTGACCACGAAGTGTATATCTGCTTTAGGAAAAAGAACAGAGATATGTGGCAGCCTTTAAAGACTACACAGATTTTATTGTGACATGAGCTTTGTAAGATAAAGCCCACTTCATCAGATCGCTTCCCTAGTTTAAGAAAGCAGGCTCAAGCTCATGTCACAAATTATTCCCTTCCAGTATTCCTGTTTGAAAATCCTAACAAAAACATCATGAATGTGTATATACAAATGGCTTTCCATATCCAAAGTTCAACTACATACCCACAGCTTGAAAATATTCTTCACTCCCACCCCACAAAAATCCAAAAAGCAGACCTTAGTTAATCCATTTTTATATACAGTACAGGACACTATTTTACGATACCACTGTATATCATGGGATTTGTGCAATCATAAATTTTGGTATCTAGGGCGGGGATTGTTGCCTTGTTCTGAGTTCCCTTTGGGGTTGAGACGGGTGGGATATAAGTGTGGTAAATACATACATAAATACATTAAAAATAGTAAAATAACAAAAGGTGGTACTGTCTATAAGCACACCAACATTGGAAAAAATATTTTTTGGATTACTGTTCCCCAGCAAGCAGTGCTCCTGCCTGTGTCAATGGGAGGTCTTGGGAGCTGAAGACCTCTCTTCTACAATTTTCCAAGTTCTGAACTCTCCATATTCACTGAAATTTCATGAATGTAGGATCAAAGACTAAGAAACGACTGCAGTGGCCATCTAATCTGTCCCTTGACCGTACAGGAACACACAACTAAAACATTTGTAAAAGATCACCTGCGTATAAAGGCCTCAAAAAATAGAGGGTCCATCACTGCCTGAAATAATTTATTTTACAATCTTCTGTTAAGCAAACACTGGCATCTTGCTCTTATAATGATGTGGATTAACCTACCCGACATGAGATGGTGCCCACTAAATATGTAGGGAAAGATTATCACTTGGTTTACAGATGCAACTAATGGAAAGTATCTCCAGCTGCCACAAGGAGAACAGGTAGTACCTACAACAGTAGTAAGAGATCCTTTGACATCAGTAGGACAAGTTCATCATAATGAACTTGATTTCGTTGGGGTGAAGGCAGGTTTGATCAAAGTACAGCATTTCTGATATTGATGGACTGCTATGTTCAGCATTCCTCATTGGCTAGGATGGCTTGGGGGTCAAATAATAATTATTTTTTTGCCCAATATGTCTTCTAAACCTAATGGGGGTTGTGTTTTGTGCTTTTCTGGGACCTTGATGGCATTTTGAGGCAAAGCTCTTTTTTTATTTTTGGAAACATTTACAACATTTTGCTTTGACCCCGATGGGTCCAGGAGATCTCCATACATGGTGGAAATGCTCTCCATGCCATTTCAGTGTCTGGGTGTTGCAAAGATCGGCCCTACTATTTGCTCATACCAGCAGTGGAGAAATTAATTGCAATGTATGTGTTTCTTTTCCACTTCAGTGGCCAACATTGCTAGTTACCAATATATCTTATGGTCTAAAATGTATGTGATATTTTACGGCTATGATTATTTTTTTCCTCTTCCTTAGGTTGATATCCTTTCAAGAATTTGTAGCATTTGAATCTGTCCTCTGTGCTCCAGATGCATTGTTCATGGTGGCATTCCAACTTTTTGACAAAACTGGAAAAGGAGAAGTGACTTTTGGTAAGCACTGTATTTTAACTCTTCCCTCTTCCTGAGTTGTGATTGTTTTGTTATATATGTCATCAGTTATAGAAAAAACACTCATAATACTCATCTATTAGATGTATAGTTCCATATAAATGGGTTCTTATCAACTTTTTTTGGTTGGTGTTTTACATTCACTTGAATCAGTGATATTTTGGCATGTTTCTTAAATATTTTGTGTTTTCATGTAAGACCTGTATGTACCTGTTAGGTCCTACTCAAGTAAACTCATTCCTGAAGGTAGGACTAGTGTTAGATTTAGCTCTAATTCAGAGAACACTAAAATCATAGCTACGGTTCTTGGAATAAGGCTTTCATCATGGTTCCTTTGAAAAGATGACATGCAGCCTCTGCACAACTGTGGAAATTCTTTGAAAAGAGTCAAAACAGTGTTGACACAGTCCCACCCAAGTTAAGTGTTCTTACGCATTAATGTCAGTGAGAGAATTAAGTACATACACTGCCTTCTCCACTGAAATCAAAAGTTCTCCAATGTAGACTTTGACTGTTTTGTGCCCTTTGTATTTCTAAGTACAGGACTAACTGTGTTAACAATTCCTCTGTCAAAGAAACTCCTTTTATAAAGTCTTTTTATTATACCTAACCTGCCAACCCATTATATTCTGGTCCTCTATCTAGCTGCAAGTTTTCTTTCTCAGCATCAGCATTGGGGGAATGTTGGGTTGCAGCAGTGTCTTTGCGGTGATTGGTGCAATAAAGCCTTGGCCAAGAAAGAATGGCATTGTGCTCTAGCTAGTCCTATTCTAGCTTTATGTGCCCTGCCTACAACAGGCAAGGTAAACAGTAACTGCCTCCAGAATCTTGTACAGGGAATGTGTGAACAGCAAAAGAAAAGAAAAGGGGACAATAGCCTGCCTCACTTGGCATTTGTAACATATTAAAAAAGTATAGACCTGTATGCTTGCCACCGAAGCCTGGTGAAAGTCATGCCTGGATACAATTTGGAAGAAGCTCTCAAGGTGGCCTCAAGAAGGTTCGAAATGTTTTTGTTTATTTATGTGCGTGTTATCAATTTTGAATAAAACCTTTGCAGAAATATATCAAAGTGCTCTTCTGTTTCACAATAGATGAACATATCCCTATTCTTTCCATGTTTTTTCTGCCTCTGATATAAATAAATAATTGGAATAATAACTTCATTTTTGTACCCCGCCTCCATCTCCCTGAAGGGACGCGTGGTGGCTTACATTGGGACAAACCCAAACAAACCTAGATTAAAAATACCTAGATTAAAAATACAATGCAGTAAAAGAAGCAACATCATAATAACATAAAACAACATCATAAAACAACCATTAGCCTGAATAGTAATTAATACTGAAACTTGGAGAGTAGGAGCTTGTGCAATAAAGTTTCAAGACAAGGGCTGGTGGAAAGGTGCAGGAGCCAAAAATAAATTAGATCTAGAAGGGGAATGTCCTTTGGAATGCCAAAACTATAGGACAGGGGGTAGTCGTATAGTGCAGGGGCTGATAGTAAGTTATAGTTATATAACTTATATAGCTCTCTACGTGGGGCTGCCCTTGAAGACGGCCTGGAAGCTTCAGCTAGTCCAGCGCGCGGCAGCCATGTTACTAACAGGAGCGGGACGCAGGGAGCACACAACGCCCTTGTTGTCCCAGCTCCACTGGCTGCCGATTTGCTACCGGGCCCAATTTAAGGTGCTGGTGTTATCCTACAAAGCCCTAAACGGTTCCGGCCCAAAATACCTTTCGGACCGCATCTTGGCCTATGAGCCCACGAGGACCTTGAGATCGTCTGGGGAGGCCCTTCTCTCGATCCCGCCTGCTTCACAGGCACGTCTGGCGGGGACGAGAGAAAGGGCCTTCTCGGTGGTGGCCCCCCGGCTGTGGAACGACCTCCCTGCTGACATCAGACAGGCGCCCTCCCTTCTGTCCTTCCGTAAGAGCCTGAAGACCTGGCTATTTGAGAAGGCATTCAACTGAGCGCTACGGCAACTGGTAATTGACAACTGGAACGGAATACGGATTACGATATTGGTTATGATTCTATGATGTGACGGAGCGGATTATTTAGTGTAACTAGATTATAGTGTATTATTGTTGTATTGATTTCCTGTTTGCCCTTTTGTAAACTGTTTTTATATGTTGTGCACCGCCGCGAGTCGCCCTAGGGCTGAGAGCGGCGGTCAATAAATGCAGTAAATAAATAAATAAATAAATAATTTCCCATTCTCTGGTGAACTATTTAATCATAGGCACAGTGGAACATCCACGTTTTTAGGTCTCTGTGAAAAGTGGACAGGGTGGGTGCCAGTCTAATCACCCTAGGGAAAGAGTTCCATAGCTGGGGGCCCACCACCAAGAAAGCCCTCTCCCTCGTCCCCACCAACCGTGCTTGAGCTGGAGGCGGGAGAGAGAGAAGGGCCCCTGGAGAATCTTAGAGTTTGCGCAGGTTCACAGGGGAAGATGCGATCGCGAAGAAATAATGCTCAGGAACTCACCTGCCTTGTTATCTGTGGGGTACCTCTATATTTTCTTTTTTTAAAATTATTTTTATTGTGAGTTTTTTAAATACATAAAAAGTTGTGGAACAATTGGGCTGTGATAGAAAGTAGGAAAAGGAGGGTGTGGGTGCCCATAGCAGAGGGCATCTCCGCTAAGAGGGGGGGTGGGCGTGATGGGGGCGAAGAGAAAGAAAAAGAGGGAAATAAAAGAAAACAAAGAGAAAGAAAAACAAAAACAAAAAAAGGGGGGGAGGGCTTTCACACTCCCCTACACTCGCACTCATTCATTCAACACACTCATGGGGTAGGGGATTCTATCTCTATTGTTGTGCACTTCCAAGTTGTCCGGGGCTCTTCCTGGATAATCCTTTTTTTCCCCTGAAAAATTAAAATAGCTCTTCCTCCTCTTGCGTAGCATCATTATCCACTCTGATTAAGTAAATGTGCACATGTTAAGACAATCTTCTCTAAATGTTGTGTTTCAACTTAGCACTACTGATGATTCTTGTGACCATAATATGTCCAGACATTATGCCTGGGGTTTTGGTTTGGAAGCATTTTAAAAATTTGGTGAATGTTCCTCTACCCTGACCACATGCATGTATTGTTTGAATTGTGTCAACAATGCTAGACACAACTTTGACAAAGGTTGGGCAATGTGTAAATATTTTAAATGAATAGGAAATGCAATATACTGTCACTACTTTAAAAAATATTACAGGAAAAAACTTTAATGAAATTCAACCTACTTTCAGAACTTCTTCACAGTTGGTAATTTGTGCATTGTTCTTCCAGACAGAATAGAAACATGTGAGTAGGCAGGTGGCAATTTAGTCCTACGGATGTCAGACACTTGTCTAAATGGGTTTCTAAGAATAAGCTACCCTAGTGCCCATGTCTTGGATTCATGGAGGTGATGTTGTAAAACATGTTTAATCTCAAAACTACATATTTTATGTGAAGAAATTTCTAAGCCCCCGTGAAAGCAAAACAAAATTAATTTGAATATTTTGTTTTGTTCTTAACATTGGAGAAAGTTAAGGGACTGCATTTTTCACAAAGCTAAATAGTGGTGTTCATTTTCTCCCTCCCTCATATTTTGGAAATAATCATTTTGTCTGTCTGCAAAAGGCACTCTTATAGAGTAGAGTTATTCTAAAGTTTTGATTAGCATTTAATGTGAATGCACTAGAGAAACTACTGTTTGCAATTCATTATGACGCTTGGGAAAGAACTCCTCTTACTCTTAAATATTCAAAAGGTACAATTAAAACAATTTATATATATTTGAAAGCCCCATGCATTTGTCTTCCTGAGATGTAACTAAAATTACCATTTAATGTATACATTGGAAAAAAAAAACAGATCCCAAAAACCTGGATCGATTTATTTGTGATCAATGCGGATATTCGTATCTCTCTCCCCCATGATTCTGCTTCTTGCCATTTTGAATTCTCGATGGGAAAATGGCAATGGTGATTCTTTGATGTTTTCCCTCTGTAGCAGAGAGAGTGGAGGGGCTCAGTTCTTCTTTATGATCTGCTGAGACGAACCTTTCCCTTCTGGGCTGCTCAGAGGGGGGATGGGACAGTTTATCCACACTTAACCAAGTAAAAGATTACTCCTCTTCTCCCTCCTGTCTCATTGATTGCTGCTGCAACAGCTACTGCCACTGTCCCCTTCTCAGCCAGTGAGACTTTGTGCTTGTCCTTCACTTCTGGTCCTTCTCCAGAAGCTTGTACCTTTCATTCAGCTGGACAGCCATAGCAGTCCCAAAGGCTGCTGTCAGCACCCCATAGCAGCAGCAGTGTCTCTAGAGCAGCCCTACAAACAATCATTTTTTCCCAATGTGCCAGGGACTCGCACCATTTTCATACCCTTTGGGTACAATTGTTTTATTTCTTGGAAATTTGTCAGAAACTAGTGGCTTATGTCCCAGAGTTTCGCTTTGAGTAGCATTGCTGTAGAATACTAGTTCTTAAACTGTGGATCCTGACTCCAGATGAGGACCCTTACCTCAGTGTTGGAGTACCGGACAATTTGGCAACAGTAAAAAAAAAAAAAAGGTACATCACCTAGTGGCTGTTTTAGACATTTACACAAATTTGTTGTGCAGTGTTTACAGTAGATTCTGCAGAAAATGTTTCAGTTATACTTCATAAAAAGGAAAACTAGATTGTTTAGTAAGTTTTGCAAATGCTGATCTATTATCAGCAAATAATTTTTATACCTATTTTTATACCCATATACCCAGGGTCATGTAAAATTTTCTAGGGCCAAAAGAGGTCCCAAGTGGAAATGTTTACAAAGCCCTGTAAAAGAGGATAATGCAAGTATTTGAAGTAGTGTGCTTCACTCTTCATGTGTTTAAACAACACAGTATAGAAACACCCAAATCAGAGTTAAAACACATCTCCTAAATGAAATAGTGGGCTCAATCACTTTAAGGCAACTTCCTTTGTTCCTATCAGTGTTTTATAAGTCTTTT